ATGGAAGCTGATTTTCTTCAAACCACTCCCACAAACTGGCTGGAGCCAAGAAAAGTGCCCACACCTTGCAGGGAAGAAGACTGCGCAGTCTCTGATGACTGTTTCACCTTTGGTTTCACTGCAGGAACTGCCAACAGTCTGGGAAAAAGGGAAAGGTAGGGCACATTCTGGGCCAGATCTGATGATGTAACCCTAAAAGTCACGGCTTAGTTGCCAGGAGAAAAAGGCAACTGGTTTAAAAACTTACTTTTTCTTTTTCCTAATAGTCACCTAAAATCTATTTTGCATCACTAGTTTTTTTGTATAACTCACCACAAACTTTTTTTTTAAATGAATAGAACTTAGTGCCAAATTTAACTGACTGGTTTTCACTCCTTGGAAAATAAATGTATAGGGACTGAAATATGTTTATTACATAAACACGCCTGTGTACAAGAACACAAAGTTCTCAGAAGCATTTACTCTGCAAGCAGTATAATGCACAGTGGGAGTCTCGGAAATAATAGCAATCTCAACACCAGAAGGGCAACAGCCATGTGGGACAGGACTGTCAGAGGCATCAGACAACTACTCCTGGACCCGAGTAAACAGACAGACTTCAGAAGTAGGACTGCATTTCAGGGCTTCATCAAACTGGAATTTTCTACCAATGTAACTGACAGATGTTCCCTTTTGTTAGGATTGTCTAATTTGGCGACATTTGGTATTCATATCTTTAGAAAAATTTAGAGTACAACCAATTAATCCCTTTTCCTACATGTGATGACAATACCCTTCTTCTTTTCCTATTTTTGGGACTAGTTAATGTGAGCATAATTCCCTCACTCACTGCATGGACAAGCTGAAACAGAGCTGTAATAACCAGCGGAATGGGGTTTCTGCCATGCTTAAAATCTCTCCCTCTGCCTGTGCACTGAGATGTGGGAATGTAAGCTTTCTCTTGACAATCTTTTGGTCTCCTTTGTGCTTCTGCATGTCAGATGCCACATAGGGCTTGGGACCCCCTAGAGAGAGCCATAGCAGAAGTCATAAGAGTACAAGTCTCAGCTACAGCAAGAGTGTGAAGTATCAACTCTCGGTGGTCCACATGGGATCCTTTGTCCATAACTCCCCAGAAGAACTCTGTGTCTGAGTCTGTAGTCAGCGGTTGGGTAGCCAAGAGTTGACTAGCCAGCATAAAACATGGGTGACAAATAACAGTACCAAAGATAGTACCAACCCCTCTTGACTAAGTTCTTAAAAACCACCAAGGGCCATGGCCTTATGGAAATGGCACTACTTCTGTCCTATCCTCCAAACTGTAAGCAATAACCAAAGGGGTTATAAGAGCACCCTCTTATGCACGGGGGAATATGTTCCAAGCCTATCCCAAATGTATGAAACTGCAGATAGTACCAAGCTCCAAATACAGTTTCTTCCTATACATACACACCTATGGTAAAGCAAGTCATGGTAAGAAATTAACAGCAGAAACTATAATAGAATAAGTATAAAACTTTCACAGTTTGAGGTATGACAACAAACTAGCACAAATTTCTTTCTCCTTCTTTACAATTTCATGGCTAGAAGATTTTTTCTTACTATAGAGCTTAGTAACCTCACATACAACTATTTTATTCCTTCCTTATTGAGAATTTACAGGAAGGATTCTACAGTTTTTATTTTGACATATCTGAAATGCCAGCATCACTGTTCTTATACGTTAGAGCGAACAAAATAAGGGTTACTTGAGCAAAGCGCTTTGGTACCATGATGGCCAATAAGATAACTAAGACAGTTCCTAAATGATTAACAGGCAGGTAGCATATACAGTGTGGAAATGCTGGATAAAGGGAAGATTTGTATCCCAGGCAGAACAGAGTGAGATAGCTCAAGATTTCATCATGCTACCCAGAAAGTCATGCAATTTCAAATTGATGAGTTGTTTATTTCTGGAATTTTCCATTTAATATTTCAGCTGACAGGGTCTCAGAAAGTGAGACCATAGCTAAAGGGGTAACAACTGCAACTCCTTTAACAAATACATAAACCTTTACAAAGTCACACCCCAAGTTCACTACTTAGCATTTTAACCCTTCTGTAAAACTTCATCTTGAAAACTTGACTTAACAATATCAGAAGTTTTGGCTGTTTACTTTGGTAGTATAAATACAGTTGTACAAAGTATAACTGTAGTATAATTTTTGGCTGTTTACTTTGGTAGTATAAATATAGTTATACAAAGTGAATTTGTAACAACCAGGAAACATTTAAGACCTTTAAGTGCATTTTCCAGCTTTTCGTGAGAATTATTATTTAACCTGTAAGATTGCCAATTAGGTAATGGTTACTATACGTTGTATTTGCACAAGGCATTAAAACAATGGCAAGAGCCGGGTTTGGCAGCACACGCCTATAATGCCATCACTCGGGAGGCTGAGGCAAGAGGATCACTGTGAGTTCAAGGCCAACCTGCACTACACAGTGAGACCCTGCCCCCAAAATAAAACAAGACAAAGAAACAAACAAAGAAAAAACAATGACAAAACTTGTTTCTTACTCTGAGCAGCTTGCAATTTAGCAAAAGATTTTTAAAATGTGCATCACAAAGTAAACCTATGTGGGTAAATTATAAGGTTAATATAAATTCAGATCCAGGGAAGGCTAGACCAACTGCGTTAGGGAAAACGGCTGGTAGAGATGGTATCTGAACAGTCTTGGGAAATACCTATTTCAACAGGAAGAGGGGTTAGAGAAGGGGGTTGCACACAGAGGCAGAGTAAGGGGAGCTGAGAAAACTGCAAACAAGTCTGACCAAAGGACAGACTGTATGAAGGAAAGTACTATGAGAAAACTCATCTGCAAAGACATGATATAGACAGTTTTTAACATAAAGAAGGAGATGTTGAAAGTTAGATTTTACAAGTAAAAAAATGACTTTTAAAATATACCCTTACTAGTTTTTCTCACTGTATCCTAGGTTTTTAGAGTGAAAATATTTAATGTGCAAACTAAGTACAGGAACTCTAAAGAAAAATAATTTAACTGATGGGGGGAAATGTTTTTCTGAGCTGGCAAGTGTTTGCTTATGGTTTAACTAATGTGCAACGGTACTTCAGGTCACGAAACTTTTGTCTGCAAACAATATGGTTCACAAACAGAAGCATCTGGCAAAATTTTGTTTTTGTTTGCAAACTGTATCAGGTGACAAACACAACTGTGGCTATCTTCGCCACACAAACACAAACTTGAGTATCTTTTCCAAAATCATAGAACAATTAAGTTCATGAACCAAGGTACCACTGTATTCATTTTCCCCACACCTTGAGATTGCTTCAGTAACCTTTTTATTTGTTTATTGGCAATGCTGGGGATTTCCCCAGCCCCACACACATGATAAAGGCACTCTAGTTCTGAGCTACATTCCCAACCCTTTTTAAAAATTTTACTTTGAAACAGTCTTGCTCAGTTACCTATGTCAGCCACAAACTTGCAATGCTCCTGACTCAGCCCCACAAATGCTGGCTAGCTACTCGAGAGCTAGTATTTGCTCAATTATTTACACATTCTTTTCTTTTCTGCCCCAGTTTGTCCCTGCTAACCTAGCCACTCATTCATTCTTCTGCTATGAATTACACCTGTACTAATGACAACACTAACAGTTACTATTTTCTGAATGTTTGCTATAGTGCCAGGCACAATAGTTAATGCTTTATTAATAGTATTTAACATAACCCTCAAAACATCATTATGAAATAGGTGTTATTATTCCTATTTTATAACTGAAGATACAGATTCAGAGAGCTTAAATACTGTGCCAGCTGGTGAGAGGCAGAATCCGGGTTTAAAGCAGATGTTCTTGACTTGAGAGCCCTTGCCTCTTACAGTTCACAGTTCACTGTGCTACCTCTAGCAGCTTAGTCTCTGGCCTCTTACTAATACAAGCCAGTATTTTCAGTTCAAACACAGGGTGTTCACTGAGCACCTGCTACTGTAAAATCCTGTTCTAGGTGCTGCTGTAGAACGTAAACACATGGGAGAATTCCTGTGGAGTACTGATACTCATAATCTCCCACATTTAAGCACAGGCAGCTGTACTGTATCAGTTTGGGATGCCTGTGATTTATAACTTAGAGCAAATAAGGTCAGAGGAAGGGAAAATGGCTCAGCATATGAATGTTGGATGGTAACACAACTACTCACAGACAGAAATCAGCCAACCCTGATTAAATGACTTACAGATAACTTTAATAATATCTTTCAGTTGGGAGTCTGTAAAAACTCTCTTTGCTGATGAAAAATCTGTCCTGTCAGAAGTTCCCAACCAAATCTGCTTATGAACCCCAGTCTCCTTTGAAGTAGAAAAGGCTACTTAAGCATTTAGCCAACAATAAGCACATTGTGAAGCTAGTCCTTATAAAATTCATTACTGATAAGTAAAGTTTCTTGACTGGAACACAGGTGTGAAATCAAACTACTTCTACTGTGTAGCTGGATGTTGCCTAACATTACATACAGCTATTTAAACAAAGAAATAGTTCAAACATCTTTTTAAACTATCTGATTTTAATATCACCGTTAGTAACTTCTAAATATTTTTTTGCTTAATATTTTAAAGAGGCTAGTTATATTTTTACAAATAATTCTAATAGCTACCAATATGTAAGAAGTCAGGTCAGGCTTGTTCAGCAGTTTTCTTTAGACCTAAGCCATTTGAACCCCAGGAAACATCTGGAGGGAGTCATAATTTTGGGCCTAATCTATCTACTTTTCTCTCAAGTATTTTGAGGCACAGTACTCATACCACAAATTACACAAATAAGATCCACAAAAAGATTTCAGTAGCAAATACTATCTGCGGGTACTCTGCAATCAAAACTCCAACTACTATGAATTTTTAGGAAACAAAAGTTAATAAAGTGAAATAATTTTAAGAGTTCATGTGTGGCAAAAGAGAGTGAAATACATTGGTTAGCAAGTAGAAGCACCAGGTTATATAACATGAAGATGCTGACACTTACTGCTCAATTCGGGGTGACAAGTACAGCTTAGGGTACACCTGGGTGGCTTCAGTGTCCTCAAAACTGACAGAAAGCAGGGCCACATCTTCTCCAGGATCTTCATTTACATCCTTAGACAAGAAGTGAAAAACACACTGTCATAAGTACCTGCTCTCTGAGTATCTTATCAATGATGAGCTCACAGTCCACTGGCATGGAAGTCACGGTTGTGAGTTCCTCTTATTCCAGCTGAGGAGCTTGCTACAGCCTCGGCCACACTCCTGGCCATTCCTCTGGGTGGTGGCCCTCAAAGTCTGTGACCAGCCTACCACAAGACCCTACCATCTCACTTGTTCCCCCACCTTACGCAGAGGAGAGGGGTAAAACTGATAGTGACAAAGAATTAAATAAAAACACTGTTAACAAACTGCAGTAAATATATTTCCATAATCACAATTTATATCCTAAAATACCAACAAAATGTTAAAATACCACAGGATTTTATTAAACCCACCTTTATAGTATTTTATGTTATTTAAATATCAAATTTCCCAGGAAACACATCACCATGAACTAAGTCACCATATAAACATACAGCAAGAGGTTAGGTACACGTCGACTTTACTGAGGTGATTATAGATGGTTTACATGGGATCAAGAAGCACATATCTTAAATGCCTTGTTAAGGACATTATAAGACAAAACCATTATTGATCCAAGTACAACTACTACTGATCAATGTACCAATGTATACAATGAGGTTAACCACAATAATGATAAAGCCTAGTTTACTGTAATTTATAACTAAAAGACAAGAATAGCAGGAATTGGCTATTATAACTAACAAGTCAGTACTGATGATACACAGATAAAGTGTCCTAAATCAAATGATGGAACTTTATGTGGATTCACTTTATGATTCTTGCCAACTACCAAGTATCTGCCAGTTCTGAATTAAATACTACATAAAAATAACTAATAACAGCATGTTTATTTTAATTTGTACATACCACACATCAGTAACCCTTAATAACTTGGTAATGACTCCAAGTCAAATACAAAAATTGCCCGATACTGTTAACACCAGTTCACAGGTACCTTGTGGGTTCAGCAGCCAAACCAGTGGGTTCCAACCTTCAATTGCGGATTCACTGTGGACAGACATGGAGGACCTCAGACACGATGTTCTCCTCTGTCTAAAACCCCATTCCCTCTCTTCCTGCATCCAGGGAGGCTAGTCAGCACACTCTCTCTGATCGGCTGAGACATACTCAGTCTGCTTATTGCCTCCTATTGTGCCTATGGTATACAACTATAACATGTATTTTAAAAAAGGATCATAGCGTCCCATCTCCCAGGCTAAAAAAATTTTTAAAGAAAGAAATCTCTCTTGACTCTACGTACTCCCCCAGATTCTCTCATCTCTCTCTTTGAATGAGCTGTCTCCACTCCTTGACTCTACTCCCCTCCCACTTATCCCTTAGCCCACTACAATAGCCTACAGACTGTACCAGTTCAAGATTCCTCCCCTCAAGGCTACCCACTAAACACAGCAAATGCTTCTCTGCCCTTCCCTTGCTTGATATCGAAACAGTATTTGACATGGATGATCACTGATCTCTGGAGACTTTTTATTTGTTAGTTAGTTGGTTTCAAAAAAACTGCATTCTCCTGACTTTCACTGCTTATCCTTCCACTATCTTTATTTTTTAACTTAATTTTTTTCAGATTTACATTACAAAAATTAGGTTTATTTTAACAAGTCAAACCATACAGAAGTTTATAAAAAAGCAGCTCTAGTATCCCACTCACTCCTTACCTCCACTTCCCCTTCAAGGTAACCAATACTAACTGCATGTAGCCTTAAACAGCTTTCTGTCTCTGTGCTCATAAAAACACACACTTGCATATAAACAGCTCTTTAACCTTCTGTTTTGTTTTCCCTAATGGGATCATATTATACATATCACTCTACCAACTGCTTTTTAAATAGCCACATAACATTCCATGGCATGGATTTATCTCTTATTTAACCATTTCCCTAGCAACAGAAAACCCTGCAGGTTGTTCCTAATACTTAGCTACTTGATAGTGTTGCAATAAATATTCTTGTGGGCATTTATATATATCCTTTAGTGGTCAGACTTACATTTCTTAATAGATTTCTTAATCTGAGAGCTGGAAAATAGTATCCAAATTTAGATTCAATGAAGAAAGCTGAGCAACTTTCACTTGTTTCTTACACATTTACATTTCTTATGCAAATTTCCTAATTAAATTCATTACTTTTTTTTAAGGTTCTGTCTTGTTCTTTGTAGTTGTTTTTTTTTTTT